TCCCAAATCAACATTTGCTTCACATTTCATCGTGAAGCAATCAATTGAATATGACTTCTATCGAACTTCGATTCTAGAAACATTCATTTGCCATATCCACAAGACCATAAATTATTCACAATCAAAACTTCAGTTTCTTCGATAATATTTCTACCCCAAAAAAATTTCTGGAGGCTGAGGAATTTCATTCTTTCTTTTTTGAAAACGAAACTTTTGATAATTGGTAATAAATCAAATGCAAATCAACGTGAAGCACACAAATAACGTATCCACCGCAATCAATCAACTAAAAAAACACAAAATTTTTGCGACAAAACTAATCGCCCTTTACAACGCATCAAACATGCTCTATTTTGGTGTGGATTGCTTTAGTGCTCCCTTGAGAATTCAGCAATTGACGAAAACGAAAAAGATGTGAACGATACGGAAAGCGACCGAAAACTGATAAAACACATTCGTTTCAAATTGGAACAAAAAATGGATGACGGATATCGGTGCAATGAAAAGAGACGATTTAGTATCTGTTAGACGGGGATTTCCAGTTCAAATTCAATTCGAATGGTCTGTGCGATTGAACAAACCGAACACAAATAAATAAATACGACTTAAACAGAGGCGAATAAATCACATCGCTGGAGAAAAAAATTTTTTAGGGACTCACTTCGATAGCGAGTTGAAGATTTGCGATCTAAAGTCAGGATCAAGTTCCGACGAGACTGGGCACGACTCTGTGGCCGCAATTGCAATCTCACGATAGACATTTCGAACACGCTCCAGCTTCTCCAACTGATGAAGATGATCTGGTGAAGATTCAATTCTAAATGAACCCAATAAAATCATACAACCATGACAACAACAGTAACAACAACAATACTGATAATGTAAAATACGTAAATGCTAAACTGATAATGTTAATTCATAAAGTTTTGCGATTAGATTGTCAGTTAGCGTGTTATATATTTACGGAAAACCTTCAAGGAAGAAAATCTCAAAATCCAATCTAAAACTACTATGCAGAATGCATTTGATAAACGCTCACAATGAGTGTTTCATACAACTTGAAATGACAACTGAATGCAAGGAATCGATCGAAAGCGATTCACCTTGAAAAAGTCCATGCTCCGCCAAGTAAATAGAAGAACAGAAACAAATAGAGACCAAGATGTGGAAGAGCGATTTTCAAGAACTGAAATTTAGGTTCCTTTACGCTTTCAAGTTAATAACGTATGAACAATAAGTGGAATAACAATAAAATTACAATAATTTCAAACATGGTCCTTCTTAAATGACAATTGTTGTAATGGTACTATCAATGATATTGTCGAGAATAATAATCATTTGCAATTGTCACTGACCCGAACACATTTTTGTTTCGTTAAGCGAGTATTATCAGTGGTTTGCGGCGATTCACTAGGAACCATTATGGCATCTAAAGGGCTTATAATACGGATGATACTTTCTTCGCATATGAGTGCGATTTTGACCCAACCACCAATGTGCTCAGACTTAATCCATATGGAAAAATGTCTCGTCGCAACCAAGCCCACGAATTCACTCTAATGCACAAGCAAGCATTTTTTCAATTACAACTCCACAATTCAAAGCAATTTGATCGAATTCAAATTAGATTCAGCGAAATCTCAGTTCAACAATCACAGAATCCAGCCGAGCAGATGAATAAAACAAGATGAATGAATAATAAATGGTCGGTCTTGGATGATTGGATTATAAAGAAATAAATCGCTTGTGTGAATGGTGCTTCAGCAAGCAGGATTCGTTAGAGTTGAACAGATCAGAATCAACAACTGAGTTGATGAAACGAACGTGTCTCTTTGAATAGACGGCTCAAAATAGACGACGGCTTTTTCATTACGCATTCAGGTGGCAAATTGTAAAATATTGTTGATTGACGATTCAAATGAAAGAAACACTGCACTCAACGTTGCGAACCTTTGCACAGCATCGGGAATACATCAAATGCTATTATGTTTAGCGATAGCAGTAAATCATTTCGTTCAACAAAACTGGCCATTTACGATATTTGCGCAACATTGATGGATAACAAATGATAAATGCGTATTGAGGCAATAATTAGATGAAACCAATATGAGAGCCATGAACCATATAAAAGAATGCGCTGATGAGATTACAATGAAGATATTATATGTGTAGATAATGAATTCATTCATCGCATATAATCACGAATTAAGCAAGCATATGCGACGACGACGACGATATTGAGTCTGTTTGCCGTCAACAGTCTTATGTTAGGATCGATCCTATTCGATTCGATCATACTGTCATCGTAGAGCATTTGATAAGGTTGAAGTTCGAATAGGTATCATTCAAAAAAGGAACAGATGAGCAACTAGGCATAAAAGTATAAATAAGGCACAACAAAACCACAATAAATGTTCGACAATAGCAGTGAGAACGACGAAACGAACGAACGAACACAACGGCAAACGACGTGTGAAATAATGAAATTATTGAACGTTGAATAGCGTCGGCAACAAATTCACATGGGTATTCTTCACTCTTCATCGTTCACTAGTTGCTTTTACAATCGATGTTATTTTTAGATGATACTATTTAGGTACGTTCGATTATCTCTTGCAAACCATTCATCTGCATTGATAATTTCGAGCAAATGGAGCGAACACATTCCCATATCACTAATGCATGATATTTACGTATAAGCCAGTTTCGCATCGGAAAGTTTTGCTAGAAACCGAATGGTGGATTGTGTACAATGTCATTGATACGTTTAACTTAGTTAGGTCATTAACTGGATCAATGGACATATGGATGAAAGGATTCATTTATTCATTTGGAATTAGAATGTCGATAAGAAGACATAAGTGAATGAGAAGAAGAACAAACAAGACGAAGGCTTAAAGGATGATACAGAAAAGGCAAAAGCAAAAGAGAATAGGATATAATTTAGGCGATATTATATCCGAATTATTCAGGACGATTGGTGCGTTACATAGCCAAAAGCAAAAAGCTTTGTGCTATATTATTGAATAATGAATGATAATGGTATTTATCATTGGCTCACATTTACACACACAAATGTCATCGTGTGTTTGTCGTCCTTATATCTGATTAACTTGTTAGCCGACAGCGATTCAGCAACAAACATGTAAAAAAACCAACAAGAACACTAACAAATTGAATGTAGCGCCTTTAAATCGCATCGTTCCTTATCTGCCTGCTCGAATTCCTCGATATTACTCCGAATGACGACTACCAACATTCAAGTGTTTCGTGCCATCATGTGAATCTGTCTGATTGTTTGAATGATTCCTACTGATAGTGAATAGAGATCAGATACCATTTATCACTTGATAGCGTAAAGCAATTGTTGATGCCTTCCACGTTTATCTGAAATCGATTCGAGTTAATTAATTCAATTTCGTTCCGTTTCATCGATCTGGTATTAGCTTAGCTGACTACACTGATGATGAGTTTCAGTGAAGCAACCAGTGACGAATGCATTGCTGGATTTACTTGCGCTCTTCGAGTAGGGTAACTCGGAATGGAATTTCCTGCAACGTTTTCATCAATTCTTCTATTGTTCATGAACTTTTCAACGTATATAAAGGTAAGCTTACAATTACGCGTACATCAAAATAGATGTANGATGAGTTTCAGTGAAGCAACCAGTGCGAGTAGGGTAACTCGGAATGGAATTTCCTGCAACGTTTTCATCAATTCTTTTAATGTTCATAAACTTTTCAGCGTATATAAAGGTAAGCTTACAATTACGCGTACATCAAAATAGATGTAATCAGCGCATCGCAGGTAGATGAGAGACATATCATCTGAAGTCGATGTCGTTGATTGATACACCATAATGCGCGATATTCCACTCAGTTCCACATTAGACAGCTGTATTTATTCTATTTCATATTCATATTTGTCTCAAGCAATTCCGACTATTGAAAGAATCCCTGTTAAATGAACGCGAACTTAAAGCATCGATAAATCTTACTATTAACGTACAAAAAATTCACTTGGCTTCTTCGAAATCGTTTCAATCCGAAACATAAATTTTTGGCTATCTTCAACAAACACTACGGAATGATCAGGAATCGCCCACACTGGGAGATAAATTCATTCGATATCTTCAATCTTACTTCTTTAGCCATAACTCCAACAACTTTCCTTTGACCACTTAGAAATCTACGCACTACACCATATTCAGTAAATACCTTATGTCCGTAAATTACCTTAAATTACTCCGTAAATGTCCGTAAATTACTCCGCACTACCTTATGTCCGTAAATTTACACAGCACACAACTTTACCAATTCCTGACTTAGTTCATTTCTTCATACTCTCGACGATTCAGGAAGATCCGGAACTAAGAGAAAACCATGTAAGCCTAGACGGCTCTACTGTTGCCATAATTATATGAAACCATCAGATTTCAAAGTAACACGCTCGATTACCTTTCTTCTGTATTCTATTCCTCGTTGTGATGTGCTACAGTATCCTAGAACCACCAGCACTTCGAACAAAAACAGATAACGCCAATCACAATTCAACTCAAATCGCTCGTGATACTCTCTCTCGTTCTCATTGGTCGCTTCTCTAAATCGACCAATCACGTTAAACCATTTCAAGCACACTGTAGAGTGGCAATTATAAACAAGTGTATAAGATGCGCGCAACGCGTACGATCTGCCAGAACACATAGAAATATACGTGTTTATACGGTATCAATCATACACTCAACGCAATCTTGAATAAATCACAAACATTATATATACACGTAATAACATACGTGAAAGAAGATTCATAATAATATGTAATCATAAAAACAATAATATATAATATTAATAACAATAATATAGCAGTAATACGACCGCAGCAGTTAACATAACAAGTAATCCTACTATAAACTC